TAACCGGCCCTATTCAGTTTGATCCAGCTCAACGTTGCGGAGTAGTAACACTGTTCCGTAACCACAGTGAGCGGCCTGTGCCGCTGGCGGCCCGTGCGGCACGCGGAACACTCCGTGAGCAGTAACGGGTGCGGACGAGCGAATGAGAGGTCGCTCTCTGACGGAGATGTGTTGTTAGAGACTAGGACTGCCTATCTTTCACTGAAAGAGACCTCTCATTCGCTCGTCCGCACCCGTCACCGCTCACGGAGTGCTCCGCGTGCCGCACGGGCCGCCGCCGGCACCGGCCGCTCACTGTGGTAACGGAACAGTGTTACTACTCCGCAACGTTGAGCTGGATCAAACTGAATAGTGCTCCTGAAAGCCCTTTCTCTGGGCTCTACCACACAGTAGCGGCTCACGACTAGCAGCTGCTGTGGCTGTATTTGTAGCCATTTTTAGGCTTCAACTGGTTCCAAAATAGTAGCAACACCTCATGAAAATCAGCCAAAAAAGCCCCCAAAATCGGCGCCTGCGGCGGGCATCCTGGGGCACAGCCCCAAACCCCCTTGACTGGGGGGACCCCCCCCAAGAGCGCCCCCGGGAGCCCGTCGACCCCCCAGGGTCGAGCAGCGCAGCCACACCACACTCCCGCTCAGCCACGTTCATTTGATCATTTCGCGCCAAGATTTGGCGCCAAAATGGCACTTTAGTGTCCACCTAGACACGTGGTCGCGGCCTGAGGCTCCAAGCTTCTGGGACTGAGGTCCCACATCGCTGGACACCATTTGTGTGCACTCGGCACCCTTCCTTCCGATCGTTCGCCGACGCACCGAGCCGGGGTCGTACTTGAGCACTTGAGCACTGGATAGGGCCGATTCCGCGTGGTACGGGACCCCTCGATCGTCTCGCCCTCCCTCACTGGTATGTTCATTGGGGGGGGTCATAACAAACACGGTACAGGATCGAGGTGCACGCTGCCGAAGCAGTGTCGTCCCCCCTCTCCCCGACGGCGATGGCGGTGTGACCGATCGAGCTACAAGAGGAGCTTGTTCAGCAGGATCCGGGGTAGTCAGGCGCACTGCCTCACTGGGCCTGAGACCGCCGAGACGCCTCCCATCACCGTCTCGGATTCATGTGGGATCGAACCACTCCGGGATGGGCAAGCCCATCAATTTTCGTTTCGTGTTTCCCTGCACCTGCCGGCGATGGCGAGAGAGGGATGAGTGGAGCTGGGACGGAGGAGGGGAGGAGGAAGGGCGGGGGCCGGGCGGGGAGGGGGGGGGGGTAGGCGCTTGAGGCGGGGGAGCGCGCGGGGGGGGGGAGGGGGGGGGGGCTCAAATGGTCGAAGACTGCAGTCATAGCAGCTTGTAGACGTAGATCCATCTTGTTAATTGTCAAAATTCCTGTTGTGCAGGAGGGGAGGGGGCTCTGACGAAGTGCATGGCGGGAGAGGGCAGGGAGCGGGCGCGGGGGAGGGGGGGGGGGGGGCTCAGCCGCGCAAAAAGCATCAATTAATAATAGTAAGGAAGACATGTTGCCCGGCCATTCAGGAAGTCCGTCTCGATTTTCGTTTTTTCCCCACAGACCACTCGGGCAACTTTTACGAAAGGCAAAGTTTTACTTGACCACTCGGGCAGATTCGATTGCATTTTACCACTCGGGCAAACTCGCTGAAACGGGCGGACGGAAGACGCGTTTGCGACGGCTCGCCGGAGAGCATGCATGGAGCGGCCGGTGCGCCGCCGCAGCTCACCGATGGAGCCTGCGTCGCGGCTCAATCCACTGACGTAGCAGCACTGCGACACACTCTCCAAGCACGGCCTCTGGCGTTGCGATTGCACAGAGAGCGAGCAATAGGCGCCAAAAGCACAGATCTGTGTGCAGTGGATTTCCATGTAGGTCGCGCCCAGCGAGCGGACAACCGCGGGTCTCGGATGCTCTCCCGGACGCGAGCCCACCGTGCGAGTGGCGGACCCGGAGGCGGCCGGCCCAGCTCACCCCCAGAGAGGCCATGGCCAGGGTCAGGCATAAAAGGGGGGTTTTTTCCGTCCGTCCGTTCTTCGACCTCGTACTAAATAACTTTTGCCGGAGAAGGTACGTACTTTAGCTTACTGGGAGAAAAGGGAGAGGGGGTTGTCTTCTCTAGGCCCCTAAGGGCCCTACGCGCGGCGTGAGCGCTCGGAAGCGAGCTCCTCTCGCTCGCCTAAGTCTAATATTACTTGTTGCCAAAAATTAAAAACCGCTTCGTGCGAATTGCTCACAGTACACAGACCTTCTTGCTGTGAGAAGAACTCCTCTGGCGCTGCGTTCACAGACTAACTACCGTGTTATTGGGGAAGATACTTCCTGTGTTCACACGGTATACAAAATGCGCCTGCGGGCGGGCGGACCCTCCAGGGAGCAGCCAAAAAGCACAGACCACACAAAAACACAACCCCGCGGGCCCAGCTCACAGCTCGCTCAGCTGATCCACCCACACCGCTCTCCTGCCCGTGTCCGGGGATGTGGGGAGATGCGAGGGCTGGCCTTGTACTTTACCTGGACCTGACCTGTACGTACTTTTAGCTTAAACTAGTGTGGGACCTGCGGCGGTACGCCCGCCTCTGTTGTTCGGGCAGTGAGAGACGCAGGATCTGCACGCCACAGTGGGCCACTCCGCATTTGCATTTTGGTTTTGGGTTGTCGGAGATCATCCATCAGCACTCATGTCTCATCAGTCAGTCACGTCAGTCAAAGCAGTCGTGGCACGTGGAGCAGTCGCTGCATGCAACGGCGCCGCCACACGCTTCGGACGACCCCGACACACCGACACACCACGCACAATGGGAGGCTATCGCGCACGATCG